CACAGCATTTTTCACACCTGCCTAAAACTTTTGCACAGTACTATATATATGCAGTTCACCATATTCTGCTCTCCCTTCAGTTACTTTTTGGTGTTAGAAGCGGTATGTCTTTTAGGTTCATCTTCTGTCGCCCTCCTCTATTTTTATTTTGGGTTGGGGGGGCATTATTTAAAATTTTGATAGCATGTCATAGGCTTTTTCATAAAATGGCTGCCATGGGAGATGCAGCATCCGTTTAGCAGAAGGCAAACAGGTAATGTTCTTTTCCCTTACCCTTTCTAATTCTTCAGTAGTTGGCCTATCACATTTGTCTCTGTGTGTGTGTATGGATGTATTTAATATCCTACCTTTTGTTCAAGGCAGCCTACATTGTACTCCCTCCTCCTAGTTTCCCTCACAACAATCTCCCTGTAAAGTAAATTCAGCTGAGAAAGCATGACTGGCTTAGTATCAGTAAGTGAGTCTCTGTAGCTAAGAATGGACCAGAGTTTGGGTCTTCCTACTCCTAGTCCAGCATCTTCACCACTGGACCATATTGTCTTTTTTCTTAGGTGATTGGGCATATTTGAAACAAAGCATTAAGCTGCGCCCACCCAACATTTATGGCTTTTAAGGAAGCCTATGGGGATTCCACTGGAGATGTTTTACTGTAAAATAAGGACAACAGAAGTTGTCAGTTTCTTTAAAAAAATAAAGAAAAGTCAGATGGTCCAAGAACCTTGCCAGGTCCACTACTACCCATCCTGACTCCCACTCTATTTTCTTATTTTTATTCTTATTTGATTCAGATGCAAAAATTCCCACTATTAACATTTTCTTTTTACATAGAGATTTACTCATAACAGATGACCTGCATAATATAGCTTTGCAACTCTAATTTTATATTAATCAAAAGAGTTAAATTTAATTACTATTTAAAGAAAAAAGACATTTAAAGACTCACCATGCCAAGAAATACCATTTCTTCTTCTCTAATTTTCAGAGTTTTCTTCCACTGGGTGTGTCCACGCCAAATCTGTATTGTAAAATCAAAAGGTACTTAATTGCTCTTCTTACAGTTTCTTTTACTGCACCAAGGGAAATAAATAAGGAAGAAAGGAAAAATAGATTGTATAAATTATATAAATCATTAAGGGGGAGTAGGACTAATCTCCATCTTTCCTGCTCAATATACAATATAAAATAATTTGGAGGTTATCACTCTGTTGAATCTTTTGACATTTGTAGAGTTATTTTTATTCCATTCATATTATAACATTTGTTTCTATTTCCTTTCATACAATTTCATATAACATGATACATAAGATATTGTGTAAAGAAAAAACATCAATTCAGAAGCTGCTACCTTTTTCTTCAGATGATAATATATTGAATTCAAAAAGAGAATAATAAAGGATTTATAGAAATATAAATTGAATTATTTGAATTCTCAAGAATTTTTTCAAAGTATTCTCAAATTCAGTCACATTTGAAGAGATTCATAGTGTCAGAACTTGTGTTCTGATCACGTAATTCAATATGAGACAGTGACTGAGAACTCTATTGGACATTTTTCCTGAACTCATTTAAATTAATTACAAGTTGTTTATGGCATGACTCCAACTACTCTGAATAACTTCACTCTTAGTTTGTAATGGACTTAACTGCAATTCTTCTTCTCAAATTTATCTGTATAAAACAGTAAGTATGATTTGGGGACATCTGAGAGTAACATATGTCTCCTATGGCATTCTTTATAATTGATGAATATATGTGTTTTTAGTTCCTTTTAACTCAATTCAGTGAGTTACAAAGAACAGAAAATTACAGTGCCCGTGCTTGAAGGCAACAAGGAATACTTCCAAACATGTCCTTTACAGTCTTAGAAAGGGTGGTAAAGATGGAAGAAAGCTGCCCAGAATGTTTTCCAAGTTTTCTTCTAGACAGCTCTCACTAAAAATAGATAAAAACATACAGATTTCCTAAGTATATCCACACAAAGCAAGAAAGAACTATAATTGTTATTATTTATTACTTATAAATTACTTATTATGTATATATTCACACACACACAAATATACTTAATCTATATATGAATGAAATATGGTAAATACAGACATTAATACTCATTGATAATACATGCCGATGATGCATTATTGTTTATTTCTGATCTTCACCCTTTGATTCTGGCTCTGATGCATTTGGCCAGGATATTATATTAATTGGTCTAAGTCAGAATGCTAAAGATTTATTTATTTATTAATATACTAGGTAATTGTTACAGTTGTAGATAGGGTGAATTTATTAACTGTATCGGTATTCTTATTCCATGTGACATTTCTCAATAATTATATTAGTAATTGATAATAGTATTAATAATAATAAATCTCATTTTCAGGGGTATAGTAAACACTCTAAAAATTAATGTAATTCCTAGGATACTTTAGATTTTGTGTGAAATTTTCATATATATTTTTGGAAAAAACTTTCAAAACACTGCTCCATGAATTTCTGTGGGGTTCTTCAATTCTGAAGACAGCTTTGAAAAAGATACAATTGTACAGTTGTCAGTTTTGGTTTCCTGAATCTTGAATTATGCATATATTTTGACTGGTACTACATTTTGGATGTAGTATAAATTTAGTATAAATTCTTCTTCCTGCACCCTTTTGGAATATTCACACATAGTACTTTCAGTTAATTGGACTGTTTGGGGATCAAGTATAAAAGATTAGATGTATCTCCTTTTACTATTGTATTGATTTAAAAATTGTGGTATTCTATTTCTATTTCTGGGAAATTGCATTTTTATCCTTTTTCTCATACCAAATTGATGCTATGCGGTAATCCAGACTTTACAACTGAAAAAATGTTAGCATTTTAAAAAACTGTTAAATAAAGATTTGAATGGATGTTGGGATTTTTACTTTAGATCTATTATTGGATCATAATGATGAGCTCTTATTATTTCTTATTTTAAAAGACAGCATATTATTTGTCTGTTGCTACACACTGGCAGTATTTACAACCACAATATTTATTGACATCTTGATTTGGACCAGCAGCATTCTCAGCTTCAGATCCTAAGTTATTAGAAATGTTCACTAATCTTACAAGACAAAAAAAGTACATAAGTCTTTATAAATAATTATAGATAAATCAACTTGACATACAAATTTTAAAGACTAATTGAATAAGGATTTGAAGATACCCATTTCTTCTGAACACTGGGAAACTGTCTTATCGTCAATAAATCTTAGATTATGGCTTATTCAACAATAAGTAGAAAAGAAATGAGTAAATCATTATGTGGCTGGAAGTGCAGTGAGAATAATGCTTCATTAAAAGCATTGTTTTTGCAATGCCCTAAAGTTTCTATGTTCTGGGAAGAAGTAATTGTATATAATAATTTGAGTTTGAAACAGGGTTTAGTATTTCTGAATGTTTACAGTCTTTTGAACTACTTACCTGTTATACGGAAACTGTCACTTAGATCATAGAAATGGATTCTACATACCCTTCTTATTGCTAATAGTCCTTCAATATGGGAAAGATTATGGCTCTAATTACTTAAGAAGATTGAAGACCTGATATTGCAACTTAAGAACAAACTGCTTAAACGTACAAATTATGTATGGATTATTACAATGAAATATGGTCATTGGAACTGTTATATAACACTCTACACACATATGTATGAGAAACCTTTATATAATTATTTTCCTTTTTTCCTCTTCACTCTGTTTAATTAAATGAAGGCAAACAATAATGTAAGAAACAGATATGAACATTCTCCATACATAGCTCATTCAACAGAAATTGAATAAAGCACTACTTTTCACTTGAACATATTTCTGAGAAGAATGATTGTTTTACCCTTTGAATGCACACTGCAGCAGTTTCAACATCTGGACCTCTTGTACCATGAAGTCTGGCTAATCTTTCTCTCTTTTCTTCAAGAAAGATTTGCTTCATGAATGTAGCCCTGAGTCGGCCCTGTCGAGCTCGCTCGGCTATTTGAATTATTCGAACAGCTTCTTCTAAGGGCATGACCTTCACAGCTTTTTTCTGCAATATAAAAATGAAGTGTAGGAGAAAATTTAATATCTATTTCAGGTATGTGCGCCTTATCAGCCCTGTGGACAGGCACTATTTTGACCGAGGATAATTCCAAATACATTGTTTCCCCTTCCCTAGTTTGTGGAAAAAAATTGTACCTAGAATGCTTCTTTATACTCTCAACCTTCTGTCCTTGAAGGAATACATTGGCTGACTGATTCATTTAAAGTTCTTGCAAGGCCACCCAACTTGAACAATGTGATTCTGGGTGGTGTACAGTAGACCAATGAACAAAGAAACCAAAACCAGAGTAAACGATACCAGCTAAAAACAAACATAACAATTAATTGGCAGTTTGGTACTCAAATTTATTAGACCCTTGCAGACAGGGGTGTTCATCATCCTGATCCAAATGCCTGAGGAAAAAAGCCAGGTTTTCACTACCTTTTTAAATAGTGGTGTTATATGGCCATACCCAGGAATGCCCAAAACTACTGGCTCAGCTGCATTCTGGACTAGTTGTAGCTTCCAGATGGTCTTCAAGGGCAGCCCTATGTAAAGTACATTGCAATAATGCAACCTAGAATAACCAAGACATAAATGACCATGAGCAGGGTCTCCCAATCTAGATACTGTATAGTGTGTAATGATGCACAGCTATTTGGATGTAAAGTGGAAAAGTGCTTCAGAGGGAACATGGGCATACTTGCTGCACACGTTGGTGCTTCCTTAAAAAAACACATACTTTTTCCTGGATCATACCATAGCCACTCATCCCCTACTCATCTTCATTAAAAAAAAAAGTCCAAGAAAAGTCAATAAGGAGCTGCTAATAGATCCAGCAAAGTGTGCCCATATCCCTATGAAGCACCTTTCCCACTTCAGATCCAAATAGCTGCACATCCCTAATAATGTGTATAGAAAAGATGGTTGCAGAGAACGTAGTTAAAGAGAACAAGAAATGGTTAAGACTGAAAGATGCAGAGAAAATGCAAAGTGATTTAGATGGAAAAGAAAAATTGCTTTGGAAGTGAAGGAAGAAGGCTAAACAAGGAGCCTCTGCAGAGTGAATGGAATTAAAAATAAAAGTAATGAAATGATCTGGAATGAAGCTGAAGTGAAGAAATGCTGAAGGGAGTATTTTAGAGACTGTGGAAATGATGGTGATATGATAGAGAACTGAAACTAATGCTATAAATGTTAATGCCCAAGAAACAATAGATGAAAACGAAGGCAGAATCCTGTGAAAATGTTGAAAAATGGTAAGGATGTAGGCATGGATGATGAAAATGGGAGAAGTAAGTGTGGTTTACTTACGGAGTGGCTGTGTGATTTATTTAATATGTATGTAAAGACTGCATCTATTCCTGCTGACTGGAAGAATGCGGTTACTGTTCTATGCAAAAGGGAAGTTCATGAATGCAAGAAATGATAGGGAGAATAGGCATGACAGTGAACAAAATCTGGGAAATCCATGTGTTATTTGCATGTGGTGTACAAAATAGATTTTTGCTTTTCAGCAAGTCATTGGCAATAACTAGAGCCAATAGAGATGAATATGTGTAGCTCAGGGTTGAACTGTGGAATCCTTGGGATTCTCTGAGCTTAACAGACAAAGGCTGCACCACAGTTATTATGGTTAAATCACAATACCTGCAAAAAGCCAAAACGTTATTAGAGGACAAAGAAACTTACATCCCTGTTAACACCAACCCAATACAGAAATTAGACAACCTAATCAAGAGAACCCTCAACGACCTAACTATGGAAGGCCAGATCACAAAGGAAGAACAGTGGCAGATGAAAAGCAGTGGACCCATCCTCCCACGCTTCTAGGGACGACCAAAAATACACAAGCCTGACATACCGCT